ACAATGAAATCGACGCTATATTAGAGAATCAAAACATTACTAACTATATCAAGTCAAGTAGGCTGAGATGGGCAGGACATGTAGTCAGAATGGAGAATGAGTGGGTTCAGAAGAAAATATTGGAAGTACACTTCAGCGGGAAGAGGAAAAGAGAAATACCGAGAAGCAGATGGAAGGATGAAGTGGAGAGAGGTGCGAAGAAGCTAAGAGTTCGCAATTGGAAGAGAGTAGCACAGGACAGAGAGAAGTGGAGAAAAATAACTCAGGAGGTCAAGGGCCATGATGGCCTGTAGCGCCGGGGAGTTAAAACAAAAAATTTTCGTATCCTGAAAGTTTTTAGTTTTTGTTTTACAGGCTTTTGCAGTGTGGCTGTCGAAATGCTTATACAGAATATTTACAAAATTCATTCAAGATCTCCAAGCCGAGCCTTTCACCCCACTCGTGGAAGAAAAGACAGGACTCTAGGAGATCCCAGCGCCTCTCACTCAGCCGCATTGCCGGTATTATTAACATATCCATTGGAAGCTGAGGAGAGGCGCTACAACCAGAGACATGGCTTGAGTGCAGAATCTGGCCATCACCAAAACTTCCAAATATGATTACAACAGGTCTCTGGGCCACAGCCGCTTCAACCTTCGAGGAGGAAAGTAAGGATGGATAGAAACTGTGCAAATGGATTTTGATGATATGTAAGGTTTTGATGGAATTCGGAAATTTTACAGAATAAGGACAAATGGAATATTAAGATAGGGTTTTGTTGGTTATGTAGAACGGAACATCGACTATTGTTCAAAGGACTTTGGACTGAATGCATTGAATGCGTTTGATGTTAGAAAATTTTTCTGTCCCCCACAGGTTCGAGAACGTAAGTCAAGATTAAAACGATGTTACTGGAATGATCAATGGACTGTTAAACTCAGTAATTGCTTAAAGAATAATTGAAAACTATAGCTCAAGGTCCACGATAGATTATCACAGATTTAGTTATTAGATCTCAAAATCGTCAAAATTGATATTAAAAAAATAATAATAATTTAATTAAAATAAAACCAGTGCAAAATGTATTATGTTATTTAAAATTCGTCACTACACTGCAGACAGTAATAAATTATAAACGAAAGGGCGGAGACCTTGTTTGACTAAAAGGCAAACAACTTAAAGAACAACCTTACCTTGGGAATAGAAAATGGCAAAATTTATTAGTCAACTAACACCATTAGGATCGATTCCCATAATTGCGATATATGTAAAAAATCCTGGTGTGCCATCACATTGGATGGTGATTTGTATTTGTTTTTTAAATCATTTCTTAATATATTTTTGTAAATAAGAAGTATATTTTAGTAATTAATTTATTATATTACATCTCAGGACAGAAATAAAAAATAAACATTGTATATATTTAAACTCTAGTAAATACTTTGAAGAGACAGAAGTTGGCATCATAAATCATAAAATTCGCTCTTTTAATAGTTTAAAGTAAAAAACAATTAAAATTCTTAGCAGATAAGCTATATTGATAAACAATATATGTAGGTGAAAGCTAGAAGCAGCTATTTTATCACGACCTAAATATTATTATTATTTAAATTTTCATTCATATTCAGGAATAATAATATACAGCAACATATCCTATAATTTGATGTAGCATTCACTCCTCATGTGCCTGCCCCACATTTTCACGTGATATTATAATCACATCTTCTGCGGCAAAGTTGAAAAACATATATTTAATAGGTTTAAGTAGAAATATATTATACAGAGAATGTTTTTTTAAATACATTCTTACATATAATTATAACTAGTCAAACTATGAAAACGTTGTATTTTTATTTGGGAGTTGTGCAAACTAAGAAATCAAAAACATGTTTCCGTTTTTAACGTTATTCATTTTTAGCTGGTTTTTTTAATCGTGTTTAATTTAAACAAATATATAATATATTCAATTGCTTAATTCAGATATCTTCAAGTATATCCTTATGCATAAAAAAAATAAATAACCTACAACTACACAAACATATGTTTCCCTATTATATAAACAAGTTTTTAGCGACCTTGTCATATTTTATTTTAGATGTGCAAAGCGATATGGACCTTAAAGAAGACACCACACTTTTTATTCCCAAAATTCTTCTTCCTTATTATGGTTACAAATTGGCAACAAGAATAATTATAATTATATAATAATATAAACTGGCAATACGAATCAATGTATAATATAGAATTTTAAAGATATTAAAAATTTGTCCGAACTGTGATTTTGTTATTTTATGTTGATAAATACCTTTTTTTTTTTCTTTTCTAATTTTTGGCATAAAGCACTGCGACCCTTACGGATCTATTGTGCGCCATAAATAATAATAAAATCTCAACTACAGAATAAATGTAAATTACAGTTATACAATTCGAGCAACGAGTAGTACAATCAAATGAACAGTTGTATAATTTGCAAATTGGGGGTTGGTCAGCCGTTAGGCGGGTAGAGGATACACCTGGGCGTATGTAAGCGGTAATAAAAATAATTTCTCTCTAAATATTCAGTATTATATTTCTTCGTTTCACAATGTCTTAAACCTGTACCACTTATAACCCATGAAGGGTCTTACTTTCAGTTCAATGTGAGGAAGTACTGTTACTAGGCTAATGGTTGTGCAGAAATGATCGGACCAAGGTCAGGCTCAACCGCCAGGTTTCCCCCTTAATTAATTATTTAATTACGAATATCCCATTTATAGAGGCTGGGTGTGCCTCAAAAGGGGTTCATTGCTCCAGAGTCGATCCACAACTGATGAAAATGTATCAGTCATCAATCGGATTAACCTTAACTTAACCTGAAAATTTGAGCTCTGGAAGTCAGTGAGCTACTCCGCTCCCTGTCATTTCACAATGATTATGTTGAATTTATACACATACTACAACCTACAGCAATTTTTTTTTTTTTTTTTAAGTCTGCGCCTACGTTATGATCACCTAAATTGAAAAGCTTTTTTGGTATCAATTTTTATTCAATAAAAAAAGTGTCACAAACTAAACACAAAACAAAAAAAAAAAAATGTCCTGCTTTTCTGTTTGAAATCGGACACTGGCGGAATTTTTAGTTTTACAGGTCTACTATTACCTCTAAATATTTCCCGTTATTTATGAGACATCCAGTACAAAACAACAATATATGTATAATGTTTTGTTTTTTTTTTGTTTAGGGTTCATCAGTATCTCATGAAGCTTTCAGTATTTTTCGAACAATTCTCGATTCTGTTGATAGTTTTGTCGATTAATTACATAATCAATAAGTCCGTCCTGTTTGATGTAATATTGTTCTATTTTTTTTTAAGTGGGTGGAACCCTTTTTTCACATCGTAGCCGAGTATTTTGTAAATTTTCCTTACACATTTTTTTTTTCTGGAGCCTTGTAAGTTAAGCAGATTCAAACTTCTGTTACTTTTACATTTCCCCGCACCAATTCAATCTGGTTCAGTTCGAGTTATTAAACTAGTAAGCATGTGGCTCTTACGTAAGTTAAAAGCTACTTGGTCAATGTTTTCCACCTGAAACTAGCGCAAACGCATTATTTAGGCAAGTCGAACCGAAGGGTAATGCGAGTAGCAATAATAATGAAAATAATACTGGACAATTTTCTTGTTAAAAAGAAAACATTATTCCATGATCGGATTTGAAAGACTCGTCAAAAATGTAAAAATCCAGCTATTTCCATTTGGTTAGTAAACTATGTTAGGAGCTGATCTATACATCAATGGTGAAAACAAAATTAACAAAAATTTTCGAGTACCTTGAAATAATCTTTTTTTTTTTTTTTCAACCTTTTAACCACACTGTATGTAGGCCATTGTGTAGTAGCCAGTGCTGGTTTCGGATAGCATAAGCGCTTAATATTTTTAACTGTTGGTAAGCATATCTTCAATGGTAAATTATAGTTAAAATTTTGAAACAGAATATTTTATTTAAAACGAAAGATTATATTTCTATTTCAAGAAAGTTTTTTTGTAAATCTGTATATTGATACTACTGCAACATTTTGGCTTGAATAAAATCTAGACTAAAATTAGGTTCTTGAAAAAAAAAGAAAATATCCTTATTTCAATGGTTGCATATTTCCAAGGCTATTAACTTTGACTTGAATTTACTCAAAACAAGTGCGATGTGGATTGATTCCCTTCTATTAAATGCCGTCCAATTGTAGCAAGTTGGTTCATCTGGCGTTGTTTATTCATTCAATATTTGCTGCGTCAAATCATAATTTTAAACGAAAATGTTAACTCTATTGAACTATTATTTTGCTTACGTAACACTTGAAATTTTTCCTTCCACTAATGGGATCCGCTGCTAGTTTGAGAATCCTTGTTCCAGTGGGTTCTTCTTAAGTGTGAACCAAGCTCAATTCATAGTCCAATTGTTATCAGTAACAGTTAATTGTGTTGGGAGTACCTACAATAAAAGAATTAAAAAAATTAAGTAATTTCACCGAAAAATCTAAGGAAAAATAATTGTTTTCTCATAATATCCAAAATATCTGTCCAATAACTAAAGAATTTTATTATTGTTATTATGAGAGATTCCCGTGTCCCTTTTCTTTAAAAAAAATATATATATTTCTATTAAGTATTGCCAAACTGGACTTTTTCCTAATTAACTTTGTTTTAACTCAATCAGTTATGTGTTAAATAAATTTATGTTTACACGATTAAATATGAGGCTGTTTAAAACTATAGATTTGTGTCATAGAATTTGCTGTTATTTTTTAAAATGATTTTCCATATCGTTGGCACCATGTTAAAGTAACGAATGAGAAACGTTAAAGAGGCTCACTTTCGTTAGTTTAACGTGGTGCCAACGATATAATTTTAATATATTTTAATAATAGTGATTAATTATAATATTACTAATAATTGTGTAAAATATTCTCAAACACTTTCTTGGCAAAAGTGCCCTAGCAGTAGAATCCTAGTAAAGTATCCTTCAAGAAGTAAATGCACGGCTTTCGAGGAGAGCTGGCTGGTTATGTAACAGGTAATGTTTTGGTGTTGATGTGGGACACGAGGCAAATACCAGTCTCCTCCCGTTCTTCAACCAGGAATGATGTTCTCCGAAACCCGACCGCGTAAGAAAATATTGTGGTAATTTGCAGAGGCAAAGCATGGATAACATCCGTTTTCAGACGTGAGTGCGTCAATAAATTGTGAATCAAGCAATTTTTTTTAAGTATTTTTTTTTTATTTTCATTTTTGTTAGCTTATGAAACGATAGCGAAAAATTATACTCCTTAGTAATTCAAAATGAGGTTTTACAAACCACTACTTCGGCAGAAAACACTTGAGCAAGTTAATGGAGAAGAATCAGAATTAGGAAGGGTACTGACAACCCTAGACCTTACTGCTCTGGGAGTAAGTATAACATTTTTATCATAGCTTAAACTCTATTCCATTATTGTCATATATTTTCTATTAATTTTTTTTCTATCCAAAACTGCCCCCCTTCCACTCTTGATGAAAAAATCAGGATATAATTATATGTGTGATTGTTAATCTCAGTGCACTTTATCTTGTTCAGTTCAGTCATCTTATGTTTTGATTTTCCATATATCCGCTGATATATTTTCAAAATTTAATAAACTGTATGAAAAATATAACTTTTTTATCATGGGTACTTTTTTTTTATTTTGATCATTTTCGGAATAAATAGAACAATGGAAATAAAAAAATCTTAATAGTAGATTTTAGGAAACTTTTTCAAAAAGTTCCATTTTGACAGTGGAATGTTTTAAAAATCTAAAGAACTCTTTCATAATAAAGATCATGGTTTATGGTGTAAGTTTACCTTATATATATTTAAGTTCTTAAAAAAAAAGTTACATTAAATGAATAATTGAAAGTAAATGGACCAAGATTACAGTCATTATTTACCTTTAATGAATTACTTAATTATGATGGGTCTTTTGTTTAAATAACTATGAATAAAAATAATGTTTTTATCAACTTTTGGGCGAAATGAATTGTTTCAACAGAACTTTTATATAAAAGATTTTTAAAAAAATAAAAGTGCTGTTAAACTTGTATTTGAAAAGTTGCTATGCAAAATTTTTAGTATTGAAATGATAAAAAAAATTCTTATCGTACCAAAGTTAATTAGCAATAAAATTTGAAATTTAATTTCAAATATAATGATAAAATAAGTATTACTCCAAATCTATTTGATTTTAATATAAATAAGCAAAAAAGATTATAGATGGAATTTTCAATATACTTTGAACAAGAAGGGAAACGAGGAGGAGAGTATAATCAAATTTAAATAACTTGAATATGCATGTATTTTGCCCTAAACTCTTTTAAAAATTATTTTCTATAAATTATTATAAAAGTCCATTTCTTAAGTGTGATTCAGGTGTTATAATATAATTTACAAAAAATGGTAAACTTATATCAAATTGCTTTTAAATAATAATAATTATTATAGTGTTATTTAAATTTAATAACTTTTATGAGCTACGAAAATAAAATAAAATAAATTAAAATTAATTTTTGACATTTTGTTTAGATATAAATATTAGGGGTAGAGGCTAAGTAAACAAAAAAAAATATTAATTATAGTTATAAAATTTAATAATAGATTAATGAAGACTATAATAAAAGTGAGGCCAATCATGGATAACTAAAGTCACCACACTCAACACCTCCTCCAGGTATAAAAGAAAAATTATATTTCATATAAACAAACATGGGCCCCACATAGGAAATGAAGAGGTTGTTGGACTCATGACAACAGGAGAAGATATAATAAAGGCATTGATGAACCTGAGATATGCGTCTAACCAAAACCATCAAACAGTGAACCTCTTATCAAGATTGCTAATGCATTATAAAATGCTATGATTCAATTCCCTTTCAACTTCTATACTTTTATGAATAAAGAATAAAAAAAGAATTTTTCAATGTAAGAAGAATAGTTGAGAAACCTAGAAGCATACTTACAATTATTTATTGAATAATATTATAATAAAAAAAAAAAATTCCATACAATATATATGTAATAACTCTTATTAAAACTCTACTAGCTTTATTGAAACTCTACTTTTAATGTTATTTATCATTGTTTGAATCTTTTTAGAACTCATTGTGTTTAAAAATTACTCAATGTCATAAAAAAATCTGTAATGATGATCGATAATAATTCATTAATATAAGTCTAGGTAAATTAATAATGGTTTCTCAATTAGGTATATTGTTTTCATTCTTTCAGAAAATATTGTAGTATTGAAAATTTATTAATTTTGAAAATAGAATTATTTTAAGTAAACTTTATTGAATATTATAAAATGTTATTGGTACATCAGGTTGGCTGTACCCTTGGGGTAGGAGTATATGTGCTACCTGGTATTGTAGCAAAGGAATTAGCTGGACCAGGTGTTGTGATATCGTTTTTCATAGCAGCAGTTGCTTCTATTTTTGCTGGTAATATAATTTAATGTCAATTTCAGTTATTTATTTTTTCATTAACATTCAACTTTCATTCAAAATATTATCGTTTACCTTATCATTATTTTAATTTTTATTTAAAATGTTTATTTATATCAAGGATGTCCATTCCTTTTTATAAATTTTACTTGTCTCTTCTTATTAAAAATGTTACAGTAAAGTAGGATTGTTAAAATTGTAGTTTTTCCCTTGTTCTCTGGTTTGGAAATTCCTCCAAATTGAAACTGTAAAAAAATATAGTCTCTTCAAAAATGAATAACCCTATAAAAAATATTTTTCCTCAATATTTTTGTATGCTATACCACCTTCATATGTGTATCCCAATTAATATCAATTCAGTAATTTTAAGAATATCTTATTTTACTTTTTTTTAATGTTGTTTTTCTAATCATATTTTAAACTCTGCCTTTATTTATTATCTCCTTTCGAATACTCAGGCCATTACATGAAATTAAAATTTGGGGAACTTTATCTACTAAAAAATTTGTATGTTATAGTGAACTTTAAATTATGACAAAATATTTTTTGTCACTTATGCATTAAAATGAAAAAGAGAATAATGTTGCAAAAGTGGTTGTTAATATAAATTGGAGAACATTACCCAGATATACTAAATTAAATGTTACAAAGAAATAAGCTTAATATTAAACTAATTATATTTTTACCTAAAACAGAAAAAAATATCAATTAAGATGGGTAAGGAGCCTAAACCATTGATAAAACGAAAATAAAAATTATAAATTAATAGGAATGATACATTCTTTTAAAAAAAAGAATCTACAGTCTATAGAAAAACATGTTTTTAATTTATTGGGCAGGCGCTATTACACATGGAGCACCCAATTTCTGTCACAGGCATCAGTAGTCAAAACCCTGCAAAATAAAAAAAGGAGCAACAAAATCGGTTCAGTAGTTCCCGAGAAAATCTTGGCACAGACAGACAGACCAATGGCTAAAAATATGTTTTTGAGGCTTAGGAGGCTCTGAAACGTATAGATCCGTCGAAAACCGCATATCGGAAATTTGACCTGATCGAAATACTATCCTTACCTAGTATAGATAGAAAAGTGAGAAAGTATGATGAATAGAAATTACACACTCTGTGGGCAGGATAAGTAGAAACAAATAAGATGTTGGCAATAGCCTGTATTCACTCAGAAATTTTGACAACTCTCAAGGTTCCTAAATCTCGAGAAAGTCCACCAAGAATATTCTCAATTCTCTCCTAATGGTGTAGGAAGTTCATATTTTCAACACTATGTCAATAACTTTGTTTAAAACATTTGTATTAATAACATGGAAAAGAATTGAAGAGACATCATTGGTTATTACTTAATTTGGTTTTCGATGGTAAAGAAGTAAACAAAATGGTTGCCATGTCACCTTTTTTTTGGCAAATGTAATAGCATTAGGTCATGCACATAAGAACAGACCATTTAAAGGAGTTCTCTTTTTTTTTTTTTCGATAGCTCTGACACACTCTGATTTCCTCCGTGGAACTCTGACCCTAATATACTTTCTATCCATTGTATAATGATATATAATAAATATCATTGTTATATAAATGAACAGAATAAATAAATAAATAATGTTTAAGTTATTTAGATAAAATAGAAATATGATCAAGGATAGTTAGCGTTTTTTTATTTTCTGTTGGTACTGCAGCAATTTAAAAAAAAAAACACAAGAATATTAAAGAGAAGTTAGTTGGGGTATTCAGTCAAACAACAAAAGATCACTCTAACCAAGTTCTAATTAATATTTCTACGATAGTCCAAATATTAATCCACTATCATATAAAATAATAATAATTTCTCCTCATTACAAATTATTTCTGATTTTATATAATAATATACACTTATTTTAGGGCTCTGTTTTGCTGAATTTGGAGCTAGGGTGCCAAAAGCTGGATCTGCATACATTTATAGTTATGTTACTGTTGGCGAATTTGTCGCTTTTGTCATAGGATGGAACTTAATTATGGAGTACATAATTGGTATATTATAATTACTTATAAATTAAGTAATAGTTTGCTAGGAGAAATTCTCAAATTCAATAACCAGACTTTTATCTACTCTTTTAGGGACTGCAAGTGTTGCCCGTGGTTTGAGCGTGTATATTGATACTCTCATTGGAAACCCAATGGAATCATTTTATAGAAACATTTATGAGCTCAATGAAACTGATATAATGTCAGAATATTTTGACATTTTTGCTTTTGTGATATCATTTCTAGTAACATGTAAGTGAGAAATTTTAAAAACTACTGAAGTGTTTTTATATAACCCTAATAAATAAAAATTATAATTTTTATTTGTATTTCTGTTACAGTAAGTTTAGCATTTAGACAGAAAGAATCTGTGTTACTGAATAATCTGCTGACATTTTTGAATATTTCAGTGGTATTATTTGTTGTTATTTTAGGATCAATGAAAAGTAAGTACCAGTTTTATTTTATAATTTCTTTGAACAATGATTCAATTGAACTATGTTATTTTACTACAATAATTACACAGACTTTCTCTGATTATCTTCTAACTTAACATTTTGTCAACCTGAGCACTAATGTAATCTAATGCCACGGAGTTAAAGTGCTGTTGTATTGTGTTTTCAAAGTTAGATAATTGTTTTTTAATTCTAGTTTTATTTTTTTATTTTATTTTTTTGTGCAAGTTGTTTTTTTGTAAAAATTGTCAAATTTGGAAGCAAATTTTATAAATGACAGTAACTATAATCATTTTTTGAACATTTATTTTTATTTTTTTACTAATCCTCTTTAAGAAATAAACTTTTTTTTTTTTTTTTTTTTTTTTCTTACCCTCCAAAATGTTTATTGAAACAATTTACATATATAGTATACATAATAATACAATATATACATGTAACAAATTCCTTCCACTGCCCGAACATTAACTATAACTTATTAGTTTAAAGTCTTGATCCTTTTTTATTGATTGAGAATGAAGTTGTTTCAACTATAACATGAATACAATTAGCTTTACATGAATATTTTAGATTTGTCTTAGGTAATTATGTGAAATGAACTTTTTAAAAATTTCAGTTTAATCTTCAATCTTCAGCAGGATTTTTGGATTACAAAACCATAACCTAACCTGTACTACTACAACCCATGAAGGGTCTGGGGTTCAGTACTATTTAGGGAAAGCACTGTTTCTAGGTCAACGGTTGTGCAAGGAGGTGATTTGACCGTAACATAACATTAGTATTAAACTTGAAAAAACACTAAAAGTAATGAAAAATTAATAAAAATTTGTCAGTATATTTGGGTATTATTACATAAAATAAATTAAAAATTATGGAATTAAAGAACTATGATCTTGTTCAAAGATGACCAACACACGGCCTCTCACACTTTTTTGTATGGCTCTTGGAAGATTTTGTTTTGACTTTTAAATAATATCCTCGACATCTATAACAATTTATAATGACATCACAATTAAAAATATTTGTATTTATTTAAATATTTAAAATAACATATTCAGATCAGAAAAAATCCTTGTATTGCTAGTTTAATAAATAAAAATGGTTTAGTAGGTTTGATACATTTATTAATATTGTATCATACCTTAAAGTAGAAAATCTAAAAATATTCATTATTATGATTTTTTTTTTAGTTGACTTTAAAAATTGGAATTTGGAACAAGAGAAAGTACCTCCTTGGGCTGGAAACGGAGGATTTTTGCCATTTGGTATCAGTGGAGCAATAAAAGGAGCAGCCACTTGCTTTTATGGATATGTTGGTTTTGATGTTATATCCACTTCAGGTAATTACTTGATTTATAGTATTTATTACCAACAATTTTGGATATAATTTTTGATTATCTTTAAGTCAGTAAATAAAATGCTTTGGCATTATATTGATAAGTAGAGTGCAAATCGCTGTTCATAGGGGGGTCCAGAAAGAGTTGTATGATTGTGCCATCAAAATTTTTGGTGGTACATTTTCACGTGTTTATGGATTTTTTAGGGGTGGAGAAACATATTTACAAGGTTATGAAGTTTTGGAGAAAACCAAATTTTTATGAGGTCTGCATTGGAGAGAACTTAGGAAAACTAAACTACATCTTTTATAACTTTACTTTCATTTGTATGAAACAATACTGTTGTTGGGAAGTGGCAGACCTATCGCTCAGTCTGCAGTCAGCCACTGGCCCTCCAGGATGGGGGGGGGGAGACACAGACACACACAGCACACCAAACACAGCACTCTACATGCACTCCCACACTACAGACAAATAATACTACAAGCTATCAAATAATAATTTTTTAAAAATGCATTTATACATACAGAGATTTATCAAGCCTTCTTACCTATTTCCACACAATTAAAAATATTTTATACTTGTATGCATTCTTTCTAGGTGCATATTAGTATTTAATCTGGCATGTTTTCTGTAACAATAAGCCCATGATTTTATTATTGCTTGGTATTGTTTTTCTAAGTACTGACCGAAATTAGCAGTTGCTGCATTGGTTTTTAAATTACTTTAGGAAGCCTTGTTAGGAATGCTTCTTTATCAGTTTCTTCCAATAATGTTCTTAACAATTTGTAAACTTCCACCCGTTGAACCGAATATTTAATTCTACACAAATTTTTTCTCCACCTATGGTCAACATGCCAATATAAACCACATATAAAGAACAAAATAAACGTAAAATATTATTATTCAGAAATAAAGTTTCTCAAGCGTTAAAAATTATTCTGCCATATCACTCATAAATATTCTAGGGGCGATAGGAGAGATTAAATTATCTTTAATAATTGTATAAATTATTTCCATTGCATCCTGATCACTTTGGTTTGAAAACATGAATGCGCAAGTCAATTCTTGCCTCAAGTCATGCAGGACCATAATTATTCATCCCATGGGTTTCATTTATGCAAACACAATCGTTCCCATAAGTGGACAACAACTCCAATTGAGTGGCATTTGCTAGTATTAAAATAAAAATGTCCTCTCTTAATTTTGGATATAAAGAGATATAATTCCCCTTGAGGTTTACAAAAACGAACTATGTCCAATGTTTTCGACATTTCAACTACCCCAGAAATGGGCACTAATAAAATAATTTTTAAGTCTTTTTTACCGCCTTGATTCAAACTAAACAAGCTCTCAATATTGTAAAGATCTTTTTTCGTTATCAAATGTATCCTGCCATAGCCTGATTAAACTATTCCGATAAAAGCCAGCTTCTGTGGTCACTGGCAAATCTATGGGAGGGAGGACTTCAGCTTGAAGGGGATCTTTCAAGCTAAGTCTTTCTCCTTGTAAATCTATTAGTGCCTGATTTTAATCACTCTTAAATCTACTTTTAATAAAAATTAGTATTTTAAGAAATAAACATTCTTTATTATAATCATATTTAAACAAATTTTGTCCTTTAATCTATCAATCTTATTATTGTAGGAGAAGAAGTTGAGAATCCTCAGAAATCTATACCCATTTCAATTATTGCATCTTTGGTTATAGTATTTTTGGCTTATTTTGGACTCTCCTCTGTGCTAACACTTATATGGCCTTATTATCTGCAGGTAATTAACCAATTATTGGTGGTTCATTTGAAAATATTTTTGTAATAAGAAAAAATAAATAAAATAAAATAGTGAAAAGTTAGAAACTATTTGAATTGAAAATTATTATACATAAATTGATATTTTATATAGCTACTGTTAGTGCAAAAGGTCTTACATAAAAATTGAGTTTTTTTTAGAAGAGCATAAAAGTCAATTATTCCTTTATGATTTATAATTTCATGTTTTATTTTCCTCTGCTTTCTTCCTATTTAGCAGACTACTTATAGCAGTTGCAGACTGCAAAATATCATCTTTTGCACAAAGAGAATGAACATGTAAAATTGTAATATACGATCTTTTGCACTAACAGTAATGATGTAAATATATATTTTTTTTTTTCTATGCCATAGTCATTGGTCATTCGACCATCCGACATCTTGCAGCCCAATATAATTTTGATTTTTGTATGTAATCATTTACATATGTTTGATTCTTTATATCCGTCAAAGCAGGACATTCGTTTAGGTGGTCTGCATCCATTTCCGCTTGTTTACATAATTTACATCTAGGATCCTCAGCCACGCCTGTCTTGTGCAGATGACTTTGTAGATAGTCGTGACCAGTGGCCAGGCGGAAGCAGGCTCCTGCATCTCTTCTTGGTAGGTCTGCTGGGATCGGGTTTTCCATCAAACATCCATAACGTTTCCCTTCCACCTTGTCTTTGTGGATATTTTTTGTTTCCTCCTTCACTATCATCCTCACCATTCGCCGAATTGAATCGTAGGATTTTGGATGGACTGTTTGTGGCAATTCTGCTCCCCTCCTGGCGAGACTATCCGCTTCCTCATTTCCTGGAATACCGCAATGGCTCGGAATCCACTGAAGGACCACATTGGTGCCTCGGAGTGTTAGATCGTAGAGAAGGGATTTGCACTCCAAAATAGTACTCGACATACATTTATTCACGTCAGTAATAGGGAGGATTGCTGCTTGCGAGTCGACAAAGAGAACAGCGTTCTCAACTTGCCTTCCTGATAGTGTTCCTAGGGTTATGAGGATTGCTGCTATCTCACCGTCAAAATTCGTACCATCCTCACCCACTGCAGCACTGAACTGAAACTCTCTCGAGTAAACTCCTGCCCCAGCATTTTTGACGGCTGATTCAGCTGATCCGTCAGTATAAATGTGAAGCCAATCCTGAGGCGGGTACTTTCGAGCTATAGTTTCCAGTGCTATCGCTTTCAGCTCATATTCTGGTGTTTCTTTTTTATCCACCTTATGGAGTAGTTGCAGGTCTGCCCTGCTCGTGTGGTTGTGGATTGGGAACTGTGCCTGTATAAATGGCTCCCTTTCTTCACAGTCCAGCTCTCTTTCTTCAAGTAAAGCCTTCGCCTTTAGCATGAAAGATTTTTGGGTCTTGAGCCGTTGAGTTGGGATTTTTTCCAAAACTCTGGATTCATTCTTCTCATTCGCTCGTGAAGACACATTGCAGCATGCTCACGCCGTTTCGAAAGGGGTTCTACTGTGGTCTGCAGTTCCATAGCTGCCATAGGAGTTGAGCGCGGTGCGCCCAAAATTAAACGCAGTGCTTTGTTCTGCTGGCTGTCCAGTCTTTTCAGGGATGCATCAGCCGCAGTACAGATGACTTCAGAACTGTATTCCAGTACCGGGCGTATATAGGTTTTATATGCAAGACCCATCACATCCTGGGTGGCCCTCCATGTCTTTCCTCCAAGGCGTTTTAAAAGCTTCAGCCTGTTTTCTCCCTTTTCCACCATATCTTCAATTTGGCTGTTCCAATTCATTTTGGTGTCTAACCTAACTCCCAGGTATTTGCCGGCATAGGTTCTTGGCAAGGGAACATTATTATAAATGACTTCCAGCTCGTGCACTTTGGTTGATAACGTGAACAGTTGAAATTCAGTTTTCTGGGTGTTCACTTCCATTTCATTTGATATGGTCCAAGTAAAAAGTCTTGTCATTGCCTCATTAATTGCTGCTTCGAGTGCCGTTATGCTGCTACTAGTCGCATATATTAGTAGATCATCAGCGAACAGTAAAACAGATATTCCGGGTATTCCCTCGAGCACTGCCACTAAGTCATCGATCATTATATTAAAAAGTTTGGGGCTCAGAACAGATCCTTGGGGAAGTCCCTGTCTAAAAGATCTGAAGCTTGAAAACTAGCCATTGTGTCTTACTCCAAGAAATCTCTGGGCCAAAAAGGACCGTATGGCTCTGTACATTTTTCCACCAATATTCATTTTGAGGAGCTTTTTCAGAAGGACTTTACGGCAGACTTTGTCGAATGCAGCTTTGAAATCAACATATACTGCAAGTGTATGCTGTTTCCGTTGGAATCCATCTTTCACATCCTCACTAAAACAAGCCACCTGCTCAGTTGTACATCGGTGCCATTGGAAACCTGCTTGTTTTGACGACATCTTATTTTCCCTATCTAAATATATCTGCAGCTGGGCTAAGACCATTCTTTCATAGAGCTTAGAGAAAACACTTGTGAGCGAGATAGGTCGGTAGTTAGATGGACAAGAGGAACATTTGCCTTTTTTGAGAATTGGGATCACCTCAGCCTTCTTCCAGGCACAAGGATATCGTGATGTCCAGACAGCATTGAGAAAACCCAGCACTATGAGCTTAGCTTTTGCATCTAGGTGTATAAGGAACTCTGGCAATATGTCATCAGGGCCACCGCTTTTTCCCTTCTTTGTTTGTGCGAGAGCAAGTTCAAGCTCTTCCTTACTGAAGTCGTCATCAAAAAGTTGGCTTTCAAAAAGGTTAAACATATTATTGGTGGTGCAGTATTAATTCTCTTATTTTCTTCTGCTGGTTTATAGTTAGGTGCGCTGGCAAAGAATTTACAGAAGCTCCTTGCTATGGCAAGTCCAGAAAATATCTCCTTGTTATTAAACTTAAGAGGGTTGTTCCTTGGGTCTTTTCCCCCATTTAGTTTTGAGATGAATTGATGTGCTTTTATCCCATCTTGACGAAAGTCCAGACTAGCCAAATATTCTCTAAAAGTCTTTCGTTTGGCTTGAATTATATTCAACTTTAAGTTTGTTGTAAGTTGTCTTAGCCTAACAATGTCTTCCATTTTTCTTGACCTTTCTGCATCTTTTCTTGCTGCATCCCTACTTTCTTTTAGTTTTTGTAGATTATCACTCCAGAATGGAGTGTATCTCTTCATAAATCCCCGAGGGATAGACCGCTTTGCACACTCGGGAATTGCCGCTTGAAGTCGTGCACAGCTTGTATCTACACTCTCCATAATGGTTTCAGGAGTAATGGCAAATATATATATATATATATATATATATATATACATTTTTTTTTTGTTCTCTCCAGTAGTAACGCTACAGAAGAGGTGTATATTTCTTAGAGATGTGCATACACCATGTAAAAGCATATTATATGCATAACATTGTTATTTTAAATTCTTTAAAAAAAAAACTTATTAAAAAATATGTTGGCTTACATAATGCGATTAATTCGTAGAAGTAAAGCTAAAGATACTTAAAAGAAATGGTACTTAAAATATATTTCAAAAGAGAGAATTAAATAAAGCAATAATAAATTATACAGTATCAGATGAATGAACAGTACCAAAATGTACTGGGAAAAAGAAAATATAATAAATAAATAAATTAATACAAAATTTATTTATTTTTGCTTGGTTAGGCAAAAACAAATTACAAAAATTATGTGGAGAAAAACCTAATTTTAAAAATCTACAAATGAGTAGCTATAAAATAATAAAGGTTCCATTTCATTTAAAGAATAACTAAAACAAACTAAGAAATTAAATATATAAGACTAAGCTACACTAAGTTAAAAACATTATTTTTAATTGTTTATACTCATAGATTTATTAAATTCATATGCTCGAATGTTATGTTGTAACTCTATGCTGTTAATGAAATCTTTTAAGTGCTTTTGTATTACTTCCTCACTACTGAAGATAGGGAAATTTTGTAATTTGCAGTAGGAGTTCTGGAAGAGGCCATGTGTTCTCTTAATTAAAGAGGATTTCAGGAAGGTGACTCTTTTGTGTTCATATAACTAAGAATCGTTTAAAATGTATATGAAAGTTTGTGGAGTCAGTCCGTCGCAATCGCATGCATCTGTCGCTTTTAAGTGGAATCTCTTTAGATATTGGTTAGTTGGGCTGTGTTCAGTAAGGAATTTCGTTAGTTTATAATGGGTGCTTTTTGTTTTGTTATAGTTTTGTGAGGTGATGTTTGAAATGTATTTGTGTGATGGTCATTCTTTGGTAGATTTGCCAATGTCTGTTCCACTCTTCGATTAAATCAGTCCATAAGATTTTTTTAACAAGCAGCTACTTTTGCCATTGCGTCAGCTTTTTCTTTTCCGTAGAAGCTGCAGTTTCCCTTTACCCAAATCAGTTGTGTTATTATGTCTAAGTTCATTAGTTTGATAAAAAAATTTCTAATTTGAACTGTTAGTGGGTCTTGTATTTTATTGAGTATATGGATATTTCATTGTCAGTATAGATGTTGTAAATAGATTCTGTTTTGTCTTTTTATCATAAAATTTTGTCCGTAGCCTTTAGAACTGCCAGCTTTTCTGCCTGATTATTGGAGAAATTCTGTCCTAGTCTGTATAGTTCTTCATAATAGTTGCCCTTTCCTTCTGTAATAAATGCGCAGACTGTTTTGTGTTTACTTCTTTACTTCCATCCATGTAAATGTCCACAATGTTTGTTTGTATTTCTACTTTTTCTTCCAAGTATTGTACTAGTTTGGCTTGTATTGATGAGTGTAACCGTTGTAATGATGTTGTCGTGTACTATGTCTTTGTATTCCAGTGTATGTTTTTTTATTTTGTATATTGTAGTCCGTTCTATGATTTTGTAACGTAGTAGAAGTATACCTGCTAAGACACAAGCTGCATCATATGATATGGTGTTAAATGTTTTGCTTATCCCGATGGTCATAAGCCTCTGTAGCCGTTGCAGTTTTGTGAGGTTGCTCTGCTTCTTGGCACCTGATTCCCAAATTCGTACAGTGTACAAGAATTTTGGTATTATAGCACCTTGGTATAATTAGCTTTAGTTCCTGGGTCCTTAGTCCCCAAGTTAGCCTTGCTGCAATAGTGAGAGCATTTATGGTCTTCAGGGATCTATTAATTACCATGCCCGTGTGAATTTACCAATTCAGTCTTTGGTCAAAAATCAATCCTAGGTAGTTCATTGTTTCTGTCTATTCTAGTGTTTTGGAGTTGAGTGTAATGTTCAACTTAGGTTATTTCTACTTCCGTGTAAATAGCATATATTTTGTCTTGTCTGTATTAAATTCTAGTTTGTCAGCTATCGCCCATTATTCTTAGATGATAAGAGATTGGTTGGTCAGAACTTTTAATTTTGGTAAAAGCTTGTCTCTCACTAGAAGAAGAATATCGTAGCATAGGCTAAGATGTATGCTCCATCAGGCATATTATATTTAAAATGAAAATTGCATTGAGGACGTTCCACAGTGTAAGAGAAAGACATGAACCTTGTGCTATACCATTTGTTATGTGTTTTTTTAAATGCGTAGTGATTTGTCTTAATTTCAATCATCCTCTCTTTGAAAAAATTGGAAAACAATAAAAAAATTCTTTGGGCAATTGTATTTTCTCAGGTTCTCTATTATAATTGATGTCCTTGCATTGTCGAAAGCTCCAACAATGTATAGTTTGAGCATAATGCAATCTCAAGGAAGTACATGTATTAATATAACTTTATATTACAAACCTTTGTATAAAAATCAATGGTTATGAGAGAGAAAGTTCATCTTTTCTCATGATAGGTATAGGTGGTTATTTTAAAATAATCAGCTAATAGTTTATTTTACAGATTTTTTTCATACTTCTTATTTTCATTTTTTAAATGTTTATAGTCAGTTATTTCAAAATAATCCAATAACAAATTATCCTGACCCATCTGTAGGTTATAGTTGAGTGCTATCTTGACATGGTTTATTGATGATCCAGTACCAATTATAAATAAAACAGGGGTTATATGCTGCTCTTTTCCTGTATTTAAATCACCTCGAGGAACATCTGTTAATAAGATCAGTTCCTTAGCTAACAGTAGGATAAGGGGATAAGGCATGATATTTTTTACCACTTTAAATAACAGAAGAAATTGGTTGAAAAATTCCTTAAAGCCTTAACTGTATGCACATATATATCTGTGGCATTAAACACAAAGATAGAAAACTAGCTTATTAGTGATACCTATAAAAATTCACAAAATTTCACTTAACACACTTTTCACAGGTATATACACATATTATAAATGTGAATTATCATTAATTGCCCTTAATTGTGGCAAATTGTAAACATATAAAAATTAAAGCAGATTTTAAAACAAAAAGTCAATGCATAGATAAAAGTTTATTACATTTTCAAGTAATAAGAATGATGTTGGTAATTTCTGAAAATTATTTATTGTTCAAAACAATGATACACTTTTAGGATGTTGACGCTCCTATTCCCTATGTTCTTGCTGAAATAGGCTTTCGTTGGGCGGCCTGGATTGTTGCTGTAGGAGGAATTTTTGGTCTGCTTGCCAGGTGAATTAATCTATCAATACATTAATTAAAATACCATTTTTTTATCAGTTTAGGAATTAAAATGTACACAGTTTATAATTTCTGCATCTATTATTTTATTTTTTAAATAAATATCTTTTAAACTTTTTTATAACAATTAACCAGTCTTTTCTTACAGCCTCTATTCTGGGATGTTTCCACTTCCGAGGATCATCTATTCCATGGCAAATGATGGACTGTTATTCAAGTGGCTTGGCAAAGTTAATTCAAAATATCACACTCCAGTAGTTGGGACAGTAGTTTCTGGTATTGTAACAGGTATGCTATGAGCTTTTCTAGTTCTAAATTTATCAAATCAATACAAGATAAACAAAGCTAAATTTATTTATATTTAATTGTAAGTATTTATATTTGTTTAAGCTCTGGTATATATTCAAATTTCTATTTTTATATTGGTGTAATCTATACAATTAAATATTAAATAATAAGTGCTAGCATTTATAAAAACCGCACATAAATATAGTATTATCAGAGCCCGTGTTATATCAAGCATGTGATATGTTTGGAAGCTTATATATAACCTTTCAGTCAAGCTCAGGTATGCCCTTGGGTTTCTTCAGTACCACATTAAAATCCCACATGTATCCTTCAATTAATTATATAATTCTTTCATTTTTATTCTTAGTAATAATGTGAAGAGGTTCACTATCTCAAGTTTCACTTTTTACTATTTCAATATTTAAACAAAACCAAGGATACTTCAGAGAAAGAAATTTTGAAAATTCAGCATTTAATTTATATCAGCCTATTTTAATGAGAATAATACCTACCTGATATTAAAGAAAACAACATTTTATACTGAAAGATTGAATTTAATAACAATTGTTGGAGCTGTTTTTTTAGGAAGTTCTAAAAATATGTGAAATCAATGACATTAAATGCCACTTTTGGTCAGTTGATTTTAGCCAAAAAGTTTCCATAAAATTCCAGCCATATGCTTGCCTTAAATATGTAATTTCAGTTCTTTATAACTTTTAGTTTTTTAACTAGACTGTTCATACACACATACCCTGTGTGTTCATGTTCACACTCACTAAGACCATTTATCGAAACTGAGTTATTTGGGCTCAAGGGATCTCAAAAATGTATTTACATTGAAAAAAAAATTAAAAAAGTGATTTTAATTAATAATGTAATTATTTGTGGATTAACAGATCATTAACTCGAGTGGTGCCCTAAAGGTACCTCATGAACCTACTCATTTATCAATTCGTAATTTTTGCTTTTTTATTCCACATAGTTTTTTGTTTTGTTGTTTTCACTTCTGTAGTATGTATGGACCCAGAAACAATTTCATTCTATTTCAACGACCATGAAAGGGTCCAAAGGGTGCATTGAATATTTTTTGATGATTTGATAATAAATCTCACAAAACTCATAAATATTTATAATTTGTATGATATTTTAGTAGTTTTTATCAGCAACTTATAATGAATTAATACTCGTTGACACGAAGGCTGGCATGCCTAGAACAGTATTAGATGTCCCTATAAAAATCTTTTAAGAGTGCACATTTTCAATGGGTATATTTTTCAAAATTTATGAATTGGAATAGTAAAACGATCAATTATCATAAGTATCATGAAAATCTAATGAGGTGGGTGTCATGATGGGAGATTTAGCATGTAATAGCCCTCATATTAGATTTTACATACCTTGGTTACTGCCTCTCACATTAATCAGGGTATAAGAGAGAGTGTTGAAATGTTTATTTTAATAGATATAATTATTTATCAGGAATTATGGCATCAATGTTTAAATTGAAGCAGCTAGTTGACCTTGTCTCTCTTGGAACTTTGCTGGCATATACTTTGGTTGCTGTGTGTATTTTAGTTCTGAGGTAGGGTTAAAAATTATCTTTATATACAGCCGTTAATTTCCAAATCATAAAAAAGTACACAATTTTGTTTTACAGGTATAGAGAAGAAATAGAACAACCGAGACTTGTAACTCATGATTATGTTGAACATGCACATTTGATATCAAAGAAAATAAGGGTAACCTGTGATGGAATAGTAAAGCAATATTTCAATACTAGAAAATTTTCTACTCCATCAGGAACTACTTCAGCAGTAGTTGTATTCAATGTAATAGTATATAGTAAGTTCCTCACAAAAATTTCAATTTATAATGAATATATTTTCCTCTATATAATTGAATCATTTTGTTTTTAGGTTTACTTTGCGTTATTCTGTCATTAGTGTTAGTTCAATACGAGGAAAACTTAATAAACACAGACCCATGTACATTATCAGTTTGTGGGATTTTAGTTTTCTTCATGTCTATCAATTTATTTTCTACTTTTCTTCAACCATCAGATGCAAGAAATCTACATTTCAAAGTAAGTTATGTTTTTTTATAAACATAATAAATAAAAAATGGAGAACTATTTCAACAATATATTTAATTAAACAATAAACAATTACAATTGATATGTAATCAGTAATATTTGAATGTTGATGATTTGAAATTCTTAGTAACAGATGGAAATGGTTAAAGCATCCATCTCTCACTCCAAATTTTCATTACTTTTCCCTAATTGATCTAATTTAAAATATAAAATTATATCCCTAAACAGTAATAACGTACATAAAGAATAAATCTCTCAGTCCATCATATTTCTCTCTTCTCCCCATTTAAATCTACACCATTGTGCTTGATCTGCATTCTTAATAATCTAAATCATTTTAGAAGGAGAAAAGTAGTTTAATTGATCGAATATTTACTCCCAAAGCCAAGATCAAACCAATACATTTTATCTAAAAAGAAAAGGTACTTGTTTAATAGCAGGTAGCTTCTGACTGCTATCTGCCAATGTTTATAACCTTAACACTGATAACTCTGATAAGCTCTTCCTATTCATATTTATTGTATTATATTCATATTATTATTTCTTCGTATTCATATTTATTGTATTGTATTGATTTTATTGAAATTGTGAACAAAAACAAATGTAATAATAAAAAAATATTTTTATTTTACAAGATATATATTGAATAGACAAAAATATTATACATATATAATTAAAAAGCATTACGAAAACATTGCAACATATATATAAAAATAAATGAAATTATAAAAATAGGCAAAAAATATACAAAAATAAATGAAATAATAAAAAACCACGTAAACAGCATATGTATATATAAAAGAAACACTATGAAGACTATAACGGAACTTATGTACATATAAAAGAAACAATATAAACCAAGTATGAACAATTACGATAGTTGCCTAGGATAGTTTGAGCTGCTCTTTCCCCCACTGCATTGTTGTTAAATTATGGGACCACCCATAAATGAATTTTAAAGCCATTAAAAAAGAAATCCTCGACCCCTCTAACCATGTTCCTTTCCTTATAGAAACGGTTTTGTCACAAGTACGAAAGCATCTCCATTTAATCTTCCCGTAGAACTTCATTAGATGACCTTCATCACAATATTTCACCTTTCCAAATATCCGGGCGTCTTGAAAATATTTGATAGCCTCTTCTTCTGAAGACGGCAATTTCCACAATGTGACAACATCCACAATTAAATAAGACTAACTCACAGCTTACACAAGGAACAAAAAATAAACAAGGGAATGACTTAGATTAGAGAAGATAAGGGAGGTTATGTGAAATAAGATTAGATAACAAGGAAGGTTTTGACACTACCCACTATTAAACAAGTACTGATGAAAATTATAGGGTGCATTTTGAGAGGAAACTGTGGCTTGGCAAATGATTCAAAATCCAAAATTCACATTGCTCTGTACTCTCTCCAGACAGAAACAGATTAAGAATAAAGTGAATATCTGACATTAGTAGAAAAATAAATAAGGTATTTGAAACACAACAAAAGACAGCTGATTAGAAGTTTCATATAAACCTTTGAGATTTTCCCCTGAGAGTATAGGGACAATTTTTTTAAGGTTCAACATCAAAGCCTCAGGTTACCTCGGAATGGTCCTGACAACTCAATATTACCATCTACCTTTTTATTTCGAAATTGTGGTCAATAACAGATTTTGAATGGTAATATCTTGGACTTTTATGAAGATAGTTGGAAAACATAAAGATTTTTTCAATTAATATACCAAATAATATCAAACGATAGTCAAATAATTTACTTTTTGCCTCTACCTTAAACGTCATTGGAATCAGATATTGTGTTTATATTCTATTCTAATAGTTTGTTTTCTTAAAGAATTAGAATAGAGTTGTTTCGCCGTATTTAATATTGCTATTAAGATTTTCACTACTTTTAGTTTTTGAATAAGTGGTTAAGGAGAAATTGGGAACACTCTTAAAGCAAGTGTTGTACTGTTTGAGGTGCAATATAGGTGCTTCTAAATAAATCTATCAGACTTTTAAAAAAAAATCTTTATTTGCCATCTCCACCAATACCTTTAGTCAAGCTATCTATATATGATTAGGATAGACCCAGATTGGCAATGATGGGGGGAGACCCAGGATGACAATTTGTGCTTTTCTTAGCTAAAGAAGTGAAAAAAAATAGTGATTAGGTTTTCTGACTAGAGATTGATCAAATAAGGAAATAATAAAATATATAGATGTAAAACTTACGCACATACTAGGCAATAGTATGTTAGGTGTAGATCAAATTAAACAGATAAATAGTTATTTTTATTCATGTAAATTATAACATTATTATTTTTATTGTATAATTTAAAATTTTATTTACATTGAAAACATTTTTCTGACTAGAAAATGGCTTAAGTGCTTGGCCAAAACGCCATCTTACAAATTAACTATGATGTAAAAGCAATAAAACAACAGTCACAAATAGCCTTTATTTTTGGAAAAAAATTAATAAATTTATTTGATTTTTGTCTCTCTAGGTACCATTGGTTCCAATCTTACCAGCCCTGAGTATATTTATAAATATTTATCTAATGATATCGCTTGCCATGATCACTTGGATTCAATTTGGAATATGGCTCCTGATAGGTAATATTCCATTACTAATTTGTATCGGTAGTAAATTATGATATTATTTGAAATGCAAGTTTAAGCAATTACTTAATAAATCCAAATATGCTGTACTGCTTCCACAAACCTCTCTTATGGTGACATAAACAATATCTCCTAGGATCTATTCCATCAATAGAAAAAGTTGATTTTTTTTTTCCTTTATAAAATGTTTGGTTATTATAACAACTAAATTTTATTTTTGTAGAATTTCGATTTCAATAGTAGATATAATTTTTTTCCAAAATGACCTAGGACTCCCAAAAAGTAACATTCTGTTAGTTATAATAATTCTGAAAATAACAGGACTCTACTGACATCCATGTAAGGGCAATAAACATGGGCAGAACATATAGTTATAATTGATAAAACATTATCTATGGTACAAGAAGAGCAGGAAGACCTTGACTCCAATAGATAGATGGTGTAGCAGCAGATGCGGCGTCCATCCTGGAGAGAACCATTAACTAGTGTGGAAGAACTAAGTGAAGGAGACCTTGACTATTTGTGTTGTAACATCATGAATGATGGATGATGTTCATTATGATGATAATATATGAATGAATAAAAAAATAACTTTATTTTGGGTCTATAGTTCCCTAAGAATAATAACAGAGTAAAATATTTATAAGTCCTAGTGTGGTTTAGAAGAATACAAAACACAAATTAATTAACTGTTAATTGTTACTTCAATTGTGCAGTTGATTGAATTAAACAGGTGCAATTAAATGTTACATGTTCACAGAAGTTTGAATATAGAGTAGGTGGTGGGACAGGATGTGTTTGAAGGAATTTGTGTTAAGGAATTAATAAATCAGCTATTATTGATGCTTATAGCTTAAGTTGACTACAAATCCTAGAGTTTTGAATAGTTTTTCAATGTGCCTGGATAAAGAATTTTTTTGTAAAAACCTCTTCTATCTTCAATATCTTAGCAGCACTAGGAAGGATTAGGGATCATAAGTAGTAGAAATTGTTAAACAAAATCAACAAGTGGCTATCCAACTAATAGATTAGAGGTCTCTTTAATTTTATTCATTCAATACATCTTTGTACTATGGATACTATTATATAGTCCAATAAATTGGTTTTGTTTGTAGCAATGGATACTATTAAATAGTCCAATAAATTGGTTAAAATGGCATTTCATTTGGTACTATGATATTCAACCATTTATTGTTGTTAAGTTTTTTTCTTCTTAAAATATATATGTTGAAACAATTTTCTAGGCCTGGCCATTTACTTCAGTTATGGAATAAACCACAGTACTCAAAGATGGGCAACTGACCGTGTTGAATATGAAATCATTAGATCAGATGATGAAGCACATTCTAATGGAGTTAGTTATTAAAATAGCGATATCTAAAACCACTTTAATTTTTTTTCCTAATTACCAGTTACCATTGGTAGTTATCCACAAAATAATGGACTGAATAAAAATATTACCATGTTGTTATATTGCATAAATATTTGATAGAAAATGCTTTTTAAATACTTTTTATTAGTTATAAGAACTAATTGTTGTATATAGAAAGGAATCAATATATTAAGTAAATATTGTACTCAATTTAAGACATAAACTTGACTTTTTTTATTGTGTAAATTAGAAACTCCATTTTAATATTTAAAATTAACATTCCAAGTGCCTTTCCATATGAAGGTACTTAAAATAAACTGATTGGTAATGCTAGTCATTTAAAAATTATATTTTAAATACAACTAACAACTTAGCCATCAATTGGATCTCTAATATTTTCTTACCTGCAGGCCTAAGAAACTGAAGTTCTTAGCTCAATATGATTTGAGCACTGCAGGAACAGGACATATCTCTTGGCCAATGAAATTAAATTAAAAAAAAAAAAATATTTATAATTCACATCAAGGTGCCATTCCTGTAAGACTGTTATCAATATAATAACACTTTATCTATATTTGTCCATTTATTTATCCTGCTGTTGTTTTTAGTGCAGATATAAATAATTTAGTCCATGGTACAGACCCATTTTTTTTCAAATTATTAATATCTGCATGAAACTTCGTAAATAGTTTCATTTCATCATAACCAACTATTTTATTTATGAAAACTCTCGGAATCTAGGGGCGTTTACAATCTGAATATATGCAAAATTTGTCTATTTAATTAGGCAATAAAACTCGTGAAACCTGTTTGCTTTCCACTTGAATCGTAAGATAATTTTAGCACAAAAACGAGGAAAAAGTTGATGTTCAATAATATGAAGCCGTTTGGCGTGACCTACACTCCCAAAATGTCAAAATAACGAGGTTATACAGGTCAAACAGCTCAATATTTTTGTGGGCCACATTTTTTCTCGATTTTGTGATCAAATTATCTCACAATCCAAGTGACAAACAAATGGGTATTTATGAATTTTTAGTGCCTTAGTCATAAGCACAGGCAGATCTACGGGGGAGGGAGAGGGCTTTCGGGCTAAAGTCTCCTCCAAAATGGTAACATGTAACCCTGTTTTATTGGAAAAAAATATCTCTTAAAGCATTATTGTTGGTGTAATTAATTACATTTAATAGGATTTCAAGTATCACTGAAACACTATTTCATAAAGATAGTTAGTTTTTTTTTTTCCAAAGTAATTATCATTATATATATATATGAATAAAAATACCTATCGGGCTGAAGCCCCTCCCAAAATTAAATATTGGATCCACTGGTGGTTGTAGGTAACGATGAGATGAAGCTATTTAGGAAGTTTGAGTCCGATGTTAATGGTTTGATAAAAAAGAGTCTGTACCACGGACTAATGAGTTTTACATTCTGATTTTAATTAAGAAGTTTAGATATATTATATGATTTTAAGCTTGAATAGGGAATTATTGAATAGGGAAAAACAACTGGTTTTATTATGTTATAAATTGAATATAGTTATTCATATGATATATGATATTATTCTCATAAAATATTGATACTTTCATTATATTCTATGATTACATAAATATTTATAGAGTTTCAAAATAGCTTGTTAAATGTAATACGTCTGAAAACTGGCATATTTTAATTTATTTTGTACACAGACAAAAGAAAAAAAATCTGGTGCGCGCAACACAAACCTTTCCCTTACCGCTCTACTTTGAATAGAAATTATTTTCTGGCAAAGTTGGGCTATTATAAAATCTTTGAAGTGTATTTTTAATGAAGCTACAGTTTAAAGCTTACAGCTAACAAATCATTAAGAAAATTATAATACCAAATGCCATATTAATTATATCGATGATGAGCAATGAAAACCTCAGTACTCCATTTGTTTTTGTAAACCACATAATTCCAGCTGTATATCTACATGCATATCTTGAGAGATTTGAAAGTGTGTCAGTATATTCAGCCAAAAAATGATTATGGATTGTACGCCTATTAGTTTTAAACATTATTTTCCATTGTAAAGTTTAATAAAATGAAATTATTAGATTTTCATTGGCTGCCATAGATAAGTCTAAAGTTGCCACACTAATTGTAAGCGGATAATGTTGAGAATTCCCAAAGGGAAAATTCATCAAATTATTCAATAAATTAATTTTCTAATAAGTTACAAGATGATTTTTCGGAATAAACGGTTGTTACGAAATTATTTCACTATAATATCAGATCTAGAATTATTAAACTACAGTATATGTATTTAAGGGTATAAACACATATTTTATACATCCATGAAATATTTTTATATTTCACTTCTTCTTTCACACTTCTTTTTACTTATTATTTACATCAATGAGAAATAGTTAATTATTTATAATAAACCAAATTAAAGGTACTTTAGAGAAAGACACGTTGAACATTGGGCAGTTAAGCTCTGTAAAGTGACATCAATGGGAATAAGATTTAAATGATATTAAAGAGCACTTAATTATACATTCATACACCGAGTTTAATCAAAATTGTAAAAACGTGTTTCCAGCAGGGTGGATCCAGCCCTCAAGCACCTCCGATCCGGCCCGCGAAATTTCTTGGGTTACATTGTAAAAATTTAAAAATATAAAATTAAGTAAATCAATCAAGTACAAGTTTTCTTAATATTTTATTGCATGAGTTCTTCCTCAGAGCTCATTTCTTAGTTAAAGTATCATTTATAGATGTTTTTTTGTCACAATCACTGGCCCACGGAACTTATTCGAGTTGTCAATGTGGTCCACGTGACCTTTGCTCTTTGTGGACGACAGATGGCAGTGAGTTCCCTGCCGAACTTGGTTCATTGTCTCTTCATACCTGCTTCCTACCCTTCTTTACCTGCTTCTGCTCCTAGGGCTTTTTCCCCCTTTTCAGTCAGTTTGTACGTAAGGTCAGTGCTGTTACTTGGTTCCCATCTCGGCGAATATGCCCAGAAAGTTCAACAGATACGAGAAGAGACAACGTCCTTCGGATGACTTCGATTTTCTATCTAGCAGCAGCGGTTCAGAATCTGATTCTGATCCCGAAACTGATTTTGTGAAGGAAATCCGTAAGCAGATATCCGATGTGGTAGAAAGGTTGGATATCAATGATTTTTTATTGGAATCTGATTCTGGAATCGAGGATTGTACTACCGATGATGAAGAGTTCGCCAAGATGAAGAGAAAAATCTTCGAAAGACTTCTAATGTTGTCTAAGAGAGCCTCGAGACTACCTCACAGACGTCCGTTATAACAATTGGTTTATTTTTTAAATAAATAAATATTTTATTAACGTACACTTCCAATCTTATTATTTTATTTGTTAAGGTTTAGATGCCCTCTTAATTTCAGAATAGTGGAACTTAATTGTATAACAAAAGGTGTAATCAAACCCAATTTCCCTAACCACCCCTAACCAACAGCGACATTATTGGTAAGCCAACTATTTATTTTATTTCTCTTAATACTGACAGCAGATATAAAATAGTAGCATAGTGAAATAACCATTTATATATTTCTTTGTATTACAGTTTGTGAAATGTCTAAACGCACTTTCCATATTTATTTTCTAGGTCGGTATATTTAAATTTTTTTATTGCTGATCTTATATTTTTTGAACATTAATTTAACAATTTTAGCCTAATTTTATAATAATATTTATTTTTTTATTTGAATTATTAAATTAAAAAAAAAATGATTATATGTTGTGTTAAAAACAAAACATTGTTTTTAACTCTGCCAGTGCTGTACTACAGCCCGGATCCCAAAAATGAGGATGGAAACAGTTACATTTAAAATTGAGTTAATTTGGCATTGTAGAGTATATTTTTAAATTTTAACTTTGATCAATTAATTTGAGTCGCATACTTTTGTGCAATTATATGTAAGTACACTTTTTATACTGGCCTACCTATAAGTAAGATAGAAATATAATTATAATAATTTCTTTGAAAATAAATTATACATTTTATTTTCTTCTGAAGGATGTTTCAAGCACGTCCTTTTTCAGTTCATTATCATAATTATTTCATTTATTTTCAATCATTTCTCATTAACGAATCGTTTAATTTTGGTACTACTATTATTTACTAAAAGAACAATTCTAACAATAAAAGAGATAATTCCTTCCAAAACTTATAAGATAACGAAACCATTTATTTAAAAAAAAAAAAACTTTATTAACCACAAATAAATACTTAATATTTCAACTACTTAGGAGGTTATAATAAAAGTGATGTAAGAATAGCTTGTTATTAATATTTATTGGTTTTGTACGATTCTAATTCCTTTAATAGTTCCACAACATAACTAGAGGATTTAAAGTTAAATATAAGAAAATAAAAATTCAGGTTTTTGTCCATTGGACGTAACACTGTGAAATTAAAAGCTGAAGTGCCTCTATAGTAGATATGGCTGTACCATATTCAACCTTAGTTATACTATTTCTCTCTATAAGTCAGATTTATTTGTTAGAAAGCCCCAATATTCAATATAACAATGTAATATAATGTTTATTTACGACTAATTCCTACCTCGCTGCCGCTATGACCCAGATGATCCCGAACACTATCAAAGTGGAATCGGATGACCTGCGAAGCCAATCCTTCCGGAAGATCGCAGCAGTTTTGTGTATGTATTTCTTGAATCTGTAATGAAAATTACTTTTAAATATAACAATTACACAGTATATTTTTGGGGGTTATATTATATCGTAATGTATTGTTAAATTATGAAATCTTATTTATATAATATAAATTACATTATTTTACTATATAGCATCATCACTAGCGGATCCAGGATTTAATTTTGGGGGGGGGAGGAGAGGGGCTTCAGCCCGAGGATTTAATTTTGCCGGGGGGGCCCCCGTAGATCCGCCTGTGAGCATCATATATATTATATTGTTACAGCATATAACAATAAAAAAGTGTATACTTTGAAAAAGTTCTATCCTATTAATCTTTAAGTTGCACTGAATTATTATAAACAAACCGCGAAAAACATAAAATATGTATTTTTTTTTATCACCAAAGCCACCATTCTCGTAATGATTTGGAAATTTAAAAGTGTTTGAAATCAGGTTAGGCAGTATTTTTGAATTCCATTACTAGGTTTTCAGTATACCCATAATGTTTTTTTGTTTTGTTTTTAATTTAAATTATTTTATATTTAAGTGCTGATTTCTAAAATTACCATTGGCATTATAAACTCGGGCTAAACCCAATTAGAAACAGAACAGTGTCTAAAAATGTCTATTTGAAAAACTGTTGGCAATGAAAATAATAAATAAAAAATGAGAATAAAAATAATACGAAAATCCATTGATACATTCAAACAGTCCCTAAGATCCCTTGATCCTATGCCCCTTAAAATCCGTCAGCTCCTAATTTCCTCACTAATTTTCCCTCATTTGGAATATGACTGTCTGGTAGGATTGAGATCAGATTAAAGAGACTAATGAGTTATTTCATTAAATTTATTTTTGGAGTCCCCAGGCGCTCTCACGTCTCCAGTAGGTATGCCAAATTGAAGTGGCTGTATCCAGTCTTCCGACGGCAATAGGTGTAGTCCTTTTTCGAACCTTTTCAACCAAAACTCCCTCTTACTTTCTCGATTTTTTTTACTCTTTGTTCCTCTGTATATTCGTTCAACACGAGACCCCAGGCCTCAAACCTGTTTATTCCTTCTCATAGAACTGTTTCCTTAAAAAAAATCTTTGTCATGGGTGCTACCTTGTTTTGAAATTCTCTGCCAACGTCCATACGCAAATCAAAATCCTTGAACTTGAACAATAGGCACCACCATTTACTTCACGCGAATTCGGTTCATAAAATGAAATTTATGGTGGTAAATCTTCTGTTTGGGATGTAAGGATATATTAGAAAAGGAGGTATTTGGAAGTTGACAGGGATGAGGCATGACGGATGTCATGTGGCAAAGAATTCCAGTAGGAGACGGAGCGGGCTAAGAAGGAAGTTTCATAGGTTTTAGTTTCATTGTTGAATGGAATATAGAGGTCAGAAACACGGGATCTCGTTTTTATTGAGTGGACTATGGGCTCAGGCTGGAGGTGACAACAGATATAGGAAGGGTGCTGGGAGCTGATCGTTTGGTATAAGAAATTTCCGAGGAAGTATAGGCGGCGTGAAGAGCCACTTTGACTCGGCATATTGGTGGGACACATGAGACCCACCCACCGTCTGTTCCACTCCTGGATGGATTCCTCCCTGACTATCTTCTTCCATTGGTTGGGGTTCTCGCCGATTCTTCTTCGGAGTCCCTCCGGTAGCGTATCCGGTCCCTGCCTTTTCCTCTGAAACTTCCATCCGTCCTCATTGAGAATTAGATCCAGGGGCATCGCACCGGCCAGCACCTGTACCGTACCGTTCTGTGGGCTCTCGTGACGCCCAGCAGAAAGCAGTCCAGATTGCTTGTTGGATAGTGGTGGTAAAAAAGTGTACGGTATTGTCAAGGTCATCTGGGGTTTTCAGGGTTATTATGAGGTCAATTTTATCGGAAAGGATTTGGTGAAAGAGTTTCCAGTTAACTGGGCCTCTGATGAAGGACGGTGGAGAAGACTTAGGAATAGGAGCTAGAGATAATTGGAGTAATAATGGACTATGATCTGAGGATAGTTCGGCAAGAGGGGTAAGGGAATGGTTGAGGGAAATTAAGCCACTGTGGATGAAAAAATCAAGGATATCGGGACTGCGGTTAGGGTCTGTGGGCCAGTAGGTAGGTGAGTTAGGAGGAAGGATACTGAAACGTTGGGAACTGAGTGCAGATAACAATGTTCTGCCACGAGAGTTCGTGGTTCTAGAACCCCATTGATGGTGTTTAGCGTTTAAATCTCCACCCAGGATGAAATGATGTCCTAAGGAGTTGAGAAGAGAACTGAACTGGATGTTGGATATGGATCTGTTAGGAGGGTAATATGCTGATGCTATGGGGACGGGAAAATAGAAGGTTTTGATTACGATAGCGGTGGATTGTAGGAAATCTTGTGTCGGCAATGGGAGCTGGTGATGAGAAAGGGAGTGGTGTACAATAACAGCAGTACCGGTGTGTGCTTTACCGTCAGGGTGGTCAGTACGGTATGTTATGTATTGAGGTATATTTAAATGTTGTTTTCTAGTCAGTCGTGTTTCCGTAATTAGTGCTACGTCGATGTTCTTGTCCAGTAACAAAGCTGTTAGTTCGTCAACGTGATTTCTAACACCAATCGCATTCCAAAGGAGAATGGATATGAGTTTTGGGACGTGAGTCATTAAGGATTTTTTAAAGGAGGGATGAGGTGAGATACGAGATTTGTGAGGAGTGATATGAGTGGAGTAACTATGGATTTAAAATCGGTAAGGAATGATGCCAGCAAACTGGTGAGATCTGTTGCATTAGGAGGAGGAGGGATATGATGAATTTGTTGTTGATGGTTAGGTTTATTTGGATCAATAGGATTTTGAGGTTGGGGTTGAGGTTGTTGTTGCTGCATGGCTTGACAATTATCGATTGACCTCTTACCTCTATGTAGCTAGGAAAATGATACACTATTGTTTACTATTCTAGAAGGTTCTCTCTCTCTCTCTTCTTGGTCTTCCTGCTTCATCTTGAATCCGGTTTTTCTGGTGTCTGGATTTGAGATTCTTGTAAATTTGGCATCCTTTGTAGTTGGCCGGGTGTCCCTCCAAGCATAGTGCACACACTGCAGGATCTTGTATAGGTTTGGTGCACTCTACAGATTTGTGATGTTCACCGCATTTCACGCAACGCCGCAGATGGTGACAATAAGTCTTCGTGTGGCCATATGCCTGACAATTATGACACTACACGATTTCTCTCTTGGGGTATGGTTTCTCTACTTTCACCATTGTGTAATATAATCTTGTTATATGGTATATTTTCTCAATACCGGGTGATGGCTCCAGATCCACGAAAAATAAAGGTAGTGGAACTTTATTTTTTACTCCAGGCTGTTCCTTATTCTCCTTCAGAACGTTGGTTACCTGACGTACTTTGAAACCAAGCGCCGCTAGTTCATCTTTTATCACTTCAGTTGGGGTTGAGGAGTGTAAATTTCTTATTACTACTCGTAACGATCTCTCCTGCCTAAGCTGGTACGTAAGAAAATTTGCATTCGTTTCTGAGAGGTACTTCACTATTATTCGGTAGGTTTCAGCAGTATCTGGTGTTATTTTTGTATCATTGGTCCTGTTAAGACACGAATAACTGCCAGAGCAGATTTTTTTTAGTTGGGTGCAG